ATTGCATTGTTCTGTACACCTGAAACTAACAATAAAAAATAAATAAAAAATAATAAAAGTAGTACTAACTTGAAAGAAAGTACCACCATTTTATACAGTATGCATTTTTAACTCCTGCACATAAAAAGGTAGGAAAACTACTTCTGAGAATTAGCTGTTAGGAATTAACGTAGGATAATATGCCAAAGAGAAGTAATATTTTTTTAAACTTTTATGAAAGTGACTATGTGTAAATATCACATTTATATAAAGCCTTATTTCTGTACAACAGTTTTAAATGAGAAGAATCCATGGGAAGTGTTTATTACTTTTAACATAAAATTTCTTTCACTAAAAAAATAAATTTTAGATGAAGCTAGTTTGAGTCTGTCTTCATTTTAGATGAAAAATGTGAAGATATCTAATCATACACTTTTCTTTTTCCATATGAGCAGAAGCGGTTTTGGTTCTGATTTAACTGCATGAGTTCCACAGATTCCTCATTTTTGGCAAACCTATTAAGCAAGTCAAGATTATTACATTTAGATATCGATTTGTCTTTTAGTATAAAATATCTTTAGTGACAACAGTGCGACCCAAAGTGTTCTGTTTTCTGTACTATTTGTATGTCTCCTATAATCTTAGTAGCTACTTTTGCGGGAGTACTTAAAGAAGATAGTATTAACTTCTGTGAAAATGAGATAAAAACTGAAGATGACATTACCTTACATGCTTCTTACCTTAGAATTGTAAAGGGCTATGTTAGCAGGAAGCTGGGAAAACTGATTCAATTCAAATACGTCATGTGCTGCCCATTGGCTCATGTGATTTTCAGCTTTGCTTGATCCAATCACATTCTGGTTTGAGTGAATGTAAGCCACTTCCTGAACACCATATAAAAATGTATTCATTGATATCTGCTCTTGATTGACAACTCTCTCATTTGAAAATTTCATTGCTTTTCTTGGTATACAAAAGTGCTATTTTTCTTATGGCTAGGCAATTTTGAAGATAAATCGATTCTATCTTTTATAGTTTTTGGTCTATGTCTCTATATAGAGAAACTGATGTGGCTAACAGAAAAATCATCATCTGAGGATGAAAAGTCATCACTAGCCTGAGAGTTGCAATCTTTGTCTGTTGCACACAGTTGGCTTGCTTTCTTCATTGTTTTAGGAAAAGTGTCAAGTTCCCTTTCATGTTCCTTTCTCCTCTTGAACTTCAAAGAACTAGTAGCTTTTTGTTTTCTTACTCGTGACTTGGAGGAAATTTCAATGTCATCAGACTCACCACTAATATCACTACTGCCTTTTCTTTTCATAATAGATTTCAGGATGATGTTCTCAGGATTTAAGTGTTTTGAAATTAGTCTATTTCCTCTGACATCCATCTTTCTATCATCACCATTATCCCTTATTTTTACAGGGTTTTCTGTTTCAGAATTTTCAGATCCATCCATGGGGGGGGGCTGAAACCCTATACTATCTTAGGGAATTTCTCAGCTGTTTATTGTGTGGGAAAGATGACATCACTATCTTCTGATTCTGTGGCATTCTGTAAAATGCAGTGGTGGTCAGCTGTATTTTTAAATTCTTTTCTCATCATCAGACTCGGAAGAGTCTGCTCCAAAATCTTCTCACTTTTATCAAAAATACAGTTTTTATTTGGATTTAGGATGTTAGCTAATTTTTGATGTTTTGAAGTACCAACAGAGTCTTGACTTTTCTGACAACCAACCTCTTTGGTTTCTGTTGAAAGGCACATGGGCTGTTCATCAGAACTTTCATCGTCAGATGCAATGTTTTCCTCACTATCCTCAACTGATTTATATTTTGTCTCAAGCAATTTAAAGAAGCCACAATGGAGTAAGGTAAGCTGTCCAGGAGACCCTGAAGCTTTACTTGAGTCAGATGCTTTGTTTTTAGCAGTCTTCACTCTTGAGTTTTTCACTGATTCATCATCGCTAAGATCATTGCAGAGACCACATGATTCTTTTGCCAGTGGTTCTGCAGATTGTTCTGGACCTCTGTGTTCTTGATAATCAGGCTTTCTAGGTGTTTCTAGCTTGTGTCCTGGAGGCTCCTCTTTCAACCATGTTGTAGCCATCAAGATTCTTGCTTCCACTTGGCCTTCTCTCTCCAGGATGTCCTTCATGAGACAAGACCCTTGGGACCTTAATCTGAAGAGATTAGAGAGCCCAAAAAGCTCTCCTCAATGCTCTTTTGATCCTTGAACTGCTTCAAAATATCACTTGGCATTTTCACTTCCAACCACCACACAGTGAAGTTGCTGCTTGTATACCTGTCATAAGTATATGATCTAATCCACAGTTCTCAAGGATATCAGCCTAAACATTTTCACTTCCCTGCATTGTCCAATCCTGTATGCTCTGTCAATGCTTTGAAGATCATTGGCTGGAGTCCAAGTAGGATCAAACAATGCAACAACACTGGCACCAACAAAATTGAGGCCTAGTCCACCAGCCATTGTGGAGACAAGGAAAATGTCAACATCTTGTGTACTGTTGAACTCTTTTACAATCTTAATTCTTTCCTCTGATTTTGTACTTCCATCAAGTCATTGGTAATCAAGCCCAGATGCCACACAGTATTGCTGCAGCACATCAAGCAACTTGGTGGAGAAGGAGAAGAGAAGAACTTTATCTTTGTTTTTCCTACAATGGCTTAAAACCTGCTGAAGGACCTTCATTTTTCCACTGTATTTTGGGTCAGAAAGTGTTTGAAAGGCTACATCTTTGCTTTTCTGCACAAAATCTGGGAATCTGGAAAATACCTGATCAGTGTTCCCTGTTGTTTGGAGATCCTTGCAGCCTGCAGTAATGCGACGTGGTTAGCTACCTTCTGAAAGACAGAAAGGTAACTAAACACAAGGTTTTCACTGTTCCACCATGTGAATTGGTCTTATAACAACAATTCCTCCTTTTTCGGCTACTGTTGCAGGTACAAGGATCAGAGGATTGAAGTATCAAAGTCACATCTTCTGTTTCTAATGCTGTTTGATACACAGCTTTCTTAAAATCTGTCAGAGAACAATACAGCATCCGGTCTTCTTTGTTAGGCAGCTGATCCTTGGTTAGAGTCTTAGTATGCCTCAGAAACCATCCAGACATCTTTTTTGCAAGCCTCTGCATGGCTTTTCGGCCAATAGATCGTTCTCTTTTTTTGCTGTGTGTCTCTGACCATGTTCTACTGGATCAGAAAACTGCTTCTTGAACTGGATCCTGCTACTTAATAGTCCTGGCACAGCCCAGTCCATAACACACCACAGTTCCTTCATGTTCTTCTGAAGAATGGTTCCAGTGAGGCCAATGCAAACATTACATTTTAGAGCTTTCATAACTTCTGTTACTCTAGCCTTTGGATTCATGATTCTGTGAGCTTCATCCACAATGACAGCTGACCATTCCAAGCTGTTAAGTTCATCCAGACGTAAGTGCAGTGTTACATAAGTTGTTAGAGCAATTTCACATTTCCTCTGCTTTACACGAATCAGTTCATTGTCTTTTTTGTTATCATGTAATATAATGACTCTGAAACAACCCCAGGTGTCCAATTCATCGCTCCAGTTGTACAGGACAGAAAGAGGAGCAACTATTAAGAACATCATTTTTGCTAGAGAAGAAGTGTTTCCTTTTTCAGGCTTATTAGTAAAAACTCTGGCAAGTTATATTCAATATCCTCTTGAGTTCTTTCCATGCAAAACTGCAGCCAAAAATGAAATAACCTGTACTGTTTTTCTAAGTCCCATATCATCACCAAGAATACACTCTCTTCCTTAGATAAAGTGTCCATAAAGAAACTGGGCTCCTTCCCTTTGATACTCTCGCCAAATATCTATTAATAGTATAAGGAATGGAGTCTCTACCTTCAGATAATTGAAAAACAACGGCAGATGATGGAAATTTTTGGTCTGGGAAATAAGGTTTTTCTAAATCTTCATCATCAACTATGAAATTCCTGGAGTAATCTTTAAGGATTTTACTTCTTGAAGTCTTTTCAGAGGTACTTCCCTTTCTTGACAATCTGAATATAAGACAACTGCAAATGACTTCCTATTTTCATCCACTATGATAGATTTTATGCTTGCTTCATAAAGTTTTTCATTATCTGGAGAAGAGACAAGACATCCTTCTCCTGGAGGCCATGTGTCTTCGCCGGCGGATTCCGCGAGGAGCTTTGGAGCAGAGAGATCCATCTGGCCAGCGGGATGGGCCTGGTAGCCTGGTTCCTTTTAATACCCAGCAAGCAGCGGAGGACGGCGAGGAGGCGGTGAGCAGGCATGGAGCAGGCAGATCACGGCCAACACCACTTCCCGCCGCCCTCCGCACAGCGCCTCCCTAGAGCCACAGCCACTGGGGTGAGAGGAAACAAAGGTTCTGCCTAAGGCGGTCCAGGGTGTAGGGATCGTGCCGTCGAGGCAGCCGCAGAGCTCAAGGGCGCTGTGGAGGCTGACAAGGCGGCGCTCTCCTAGCCGTCTTGGACTCCGCCGCAGCCGAGGGAGGACTGCAGGCGGGCATGCAGACCCCTACTCCTCCCACTCAGGGTTGGGCCTCCTTCTATGGCCCAATGCAATTTCTAACCCTGACTCGGGAAATCCTGTGTGAACCTCTCCATATTTTTGACAGTTTATTGTTTAAGAGAAAAACAATTGACGGTTCCTAATCTCATCTCATGATGAAAGAAACCTCATGTTCATGATATAGTGTTAAACATTGTAAATGCAAAAATGTTCTAGAAATGTTTGGTATCATTCATTACCATTCGTATATAGCTAAGTCAATACATTAAAACAAAAACATAGCAGCATGCAATTAAAAACAAATAAAATCCAGGTATGAGAATAAATGAGTAGAGAAATGTTTTATTTCTATATAGGGAGAATACAGAGGAATAATTGGATATGTTGATTACCTCCTATAATCAGATTGTGATTGATAGATTAAAATAAAACTGGAAATTGGGAAGGTGTTAGCCTTCAGATAATCAATGTTATTTACTTACAATCAAGCCACTGTTTGCTTGCCTTTTTTCTCTGTCATGGACCCTTTTGTAGAAAATGCCTCCTGGATTAAACTGAGTACTCCAAATAATCATATCTCTTTGATAATACACATCCATCCCTGTTATCCTTGAATTATGTTCAATATGAGAAATTTGTTGATGATCACCACTGTAGTTGAATGGATATATAAAACCCAGGATATCAGTGTCATTAGCAATGTAGAGAACTTGATCTTCAGAGCCTGGAGATTATTATAATAAAATACAAAAATAAAGTAAATTTCAACTAATGTAAAATTAATGATTGTTCTGTTAAATTATCTTGAATTCTTAACACAGTTTCTTGCTCAATAAAAATGAACCAACTTTATACATTCAATCTTCATGACATTTTTTAAGTTAAATTTATTGGAGTGACAATGGTTAGTAAAATTACATAGGCTTCAAGTGTACAATTCTGTAATACATCATCTATATATCACGTTGTGTGCTCACCATCCAGAGTCAGCTCTCCTTCCATCACCATATATCTGACACTCTTTACCCTCTTGTACCACCCCTCTCCCCCCTTACCCTCTGGTAACCACTAAACTATTGTCTATGAGTTTTTGTTTGTTTGTTTATCTTGTTCCTTTGTTGCTTTCAGTTTTATATCCCACATATGAATGAAGTCAATATGGTTCTAAACTTGTCCTGTCACCATATCCAAAATTTACTCAAAATGGATCAAAGACATAAACATAAGACCTGAAACAATAAACTGCATAGAAGAAAGCATAGGTGCTAAACTTATAGACCTTGGGTTCAAGGAGGATTTTATGAATTTGACCTCAAAGGCAAGAGAAGTAAAAGCTAAAGTAAATGAATGGGATTATATCAAACTAAAAAGCTTCTTCACAGCAAAAGAAACCACCAACAAAACAAAGTGGCAACCAACCAAATGGGAGAAGATATTTGCAAACAATGCCTCCAATAAGGGGCTAATATCCAAAATACAGAGGGTGCAAAAAAATGTATACACATTTTAAGAAAGGAAAAAACTATTAAAATTGTAACACTCAATATATACTGATAACAAAAGATGAATACAAGTCATGTGTATACATTTTTTGAGGCACCCCTACTATATAAAGAATTTATACAACTCAACAACAGAAAAACAAACAATCCAATTCAAAAATGGGCAGAGGATCTGATCATGATATTTTTAATATACAGTTACCTAAGCATTTCTAAGAGTTATTAATGTAGGCTTTCCTAGGGCACAGCTTATCTTATGGCTAGAAATTAGGTATTTATAGGAGACATACTTTGTGTGAAGAGGGGTTTCTATTTGATAAGTCATAATACATTATGTTCTAATGATTTCTCAATATGCAGATGCTATATAGTATTCTTATTAAGCTTCAAACATTTCTGAGCATTTAGTTTATGCACTAGAGAGGGCATCACCTTAGGCTAACAAATGAAAATTAAGATATGAAGAACATTCTTCCAATATTCATATATCTTAAATGATCTTTTATTTTTATTATACAAAGATATCAATATTTATTACATTAAAGTGCCACCATCTCAATATTATCTAGAAGCTTGCTAAGTAGAACTCTCTGGTCTAATGTTTTGACACCTACGATACAATACTGATGCCATGTGTACACTGAGACAAGTAAAACCCAAAAGTAAATCCTGAAAGTATTAAAATATTAACAAAACCATAAAGATTGAATTGCATGTATAATATCTGCAAATTTACAAAAATAATATATGAGGTGTAGTTCGCGCTATAGGTTTAATAGCTCTCAGTGAATGTTGACTATGTGGCAGGCACTGTGATTATCTCCTCCTCATACAACAACTGTGGGAAATAGGTATTACTGGTCCCATTTTACAGATGTGGAGCTGAGGATCAGCGAGTTAAATAATTTCCCAAGGCCACCCAGAAAAGTGTAATGCTGGGATTCAAATATAAGTACATCTAACTTCATAGCCCATGCTTGATCCACTTCATCATGCTGTCTTCCTCTTGTGAGAACTATTTTATTAACATTGTGCAATAATGGCCTATAGCTAACAATATTTAAGTCAAAATATTATTTAGTAAAACATACGAGCACTAAAATCCATATCTAAAAACGTCTGAAATCCATATCTGTCATTTAATTTTAAAAAATGATATTCTTAAGTGGAGGTTGTCTGAATTGGAAAGCATGAATTTATTTTAAAAACCTTTTGAAGTCTTACTCAAAAGTCCATTCTCCTTATAATGATCACCTTTAACCTGCTATATTTACCCCATGGTGTAATTTCTCAAATATGCTGAGAGTGGGCCATAAAGAAAGATACTTCATATTCTATCACATTGGCTTTTAAAGTTTTACACCCTCCTGACAAAATTATTTGGACAGTAATCATGTATTTGACAGTCATGTTTATTAGCCATCCCAAATTAGATTAATTAAGAATAATAAGAATCCAACTAGCAAAATTCGTCAGCATTAAAAAGGGACTTATTTTATATTATGAGGCATGAAGCTAATGCTAAAATATAACAGGGTCCTTTTTTTTTTTGTCCCCATAAGATGTTTATAGCAACATTACACTAGCATTTGAAATAATTGTTATAACTTACCTTTTGCTATGCATGTGTTATTTCTTTCTTGAAAATTTTGGTCACATACACATTTATATGATCCTTCCGTATTTATACATTGTTGGGAACATGTACCAAAGACCAAACATTCATTAAGGTCTGAAAAGAAGAGTTCAAGATAGCATCATAATACCCCCAATTAGTATTTCCATTCCCTCTACATTTCAAAAATGACAAATTTCTTTTGTCTTTTTTAAACTTCTTATTTCTAATTTTTTTGTTGTCCTTTCAAACCCTGGTCTGTGATGTGTGTAATATATTTAGGCCATAATAATGTTTTTACAATATTTTCACTATAATATTTTATCAGTTGTTTGTATATTCGTTGTTAATCCACTTAACATATTGAAACATCCATTTCAAACTTTCCTAGTATTAGCATTCACTCAAATAAACAGGTTTTGAGGTTTCCTTTTCAGCTTGTTTCTCATTCCCAAACTCTATGCCTTTGCACGTGTCATATACTGCTCCTTTGTCCTATAATGTCTTTGTTCCCCTTTACACAAAGAATTTCTACTCATCTTTCAAGATGCACCTGACATGAAGCCTTCCTTGGTTTCCACTGATGTATAGTAGTGACTGTCCGTCCCATAGTTTCCACACTCTGTGCTGTTTTGGTATTTTTCTCTTACAGCATTGTTCACACTATATTTCACATAGATGGCTATATATTTAAATCTACTACTTGACTGGCAGTCACTTGAGGGCATAAGTTATGATTTATTCATTTTTTATTGCCAGCATTTTGCACAACACCTGGCAGAGAATGAAGATGTGGATGGATCTCTAACACATCTCTGGATTCATATAGATGAAGTGACTATGTAACAAGAAGGACTAGGTGAGTTAAACAAGAAACTAGATGTCTGTATATAAATAAATACATAAATCGTAAGTAATAAATAAACAAATCACAGGCAATATTCTGTGTCTTAGCACATGCCTCTAATTTTAATGGCTTGAGCAGGTCCAGGGTTGAGGTTAGCTGACTCTGGTGAATTATCCACTTTGTCTCTTTTCCTCCTCTTCTTTTACTTTCTATCAGCATAATTCCTCTGCCCTAATTATGTGGTAAATCTGTGAGATAAATCCTTCCCTTGGATTAGAGAATTTAAGGATAAGTGCAGTCATAATAACTATCTTTTGTCTAGAAGTCTACAGTGTTCCAAAGGCTTCTGGTAGAGACAAGGGCTTTCCCAGTGACACGTGTAAATGATGGTGCCGAGGCTCTCTGATTCTGTTGTCTCTATTATGATACTGTGCCCAAGGGGAACTTTAGCACTCTCATGACAATTCACTAATGTTTGAAATGTAGGGTAAAGAGATTTTTTTTAAAAATGTATTTACTTGTTTTAATGAATACTATGCCAGGAATCAAGTAAAATACGTATGATCAGCACTTAACTATCCAAAAGTATTACAACAAATATTTTTTTTATTTGTTTGGAATCTGTAATTTTAAACAGGAAGTTAATTGTTAGTATGGTTTTCCTTTGATATGAAATCAAAATAAGCACAAATCTGTATAATTTGATAAAATCTCAGCTCCCTCACATGGCCCTGTGATGGCCAGGATCACCACTTTCTCTTTATCTCTGTAATAATGTCTGTATCACCAGCTTTTGAAGAGAATGGAGGAATCCCACACATGTCCAATATCTAGATCAGTGTCTTCCACACAGCAACTGTTATTCCCTTTCTATATTTCTTCTGCTATTCCATTTTTTTCTTTCCTTTAGACATTACAATTGAAGTGTTTCAGTTTTTATATTAAATATCAACATCTTAAGGTTTGGGTTTTTTTGAGCTATATAAAGGAAGAGCACAAATTCAAATTATTTGGATTGCAATCAAATGAATGCCTATCTTCTCCACACCAAATCAAAACTCCTTTTCTTTACTATTAAATTCCATTTGTTAAATAAAGATGAAAATTATATTTTTCATAAGTTACTCATTTGCACAACAAAAGTTTATAAAAATAGTGGATTCATAGCTATTTCCCTCAGAGTGTAACATGTAGGTTATATTTTCCATGAAATATAATTAAAAATAAAGAACATTTTGAGACTAAGATTTCTAAATTTAGTAAGTATACACAGGAAATAAAGCCCACTATTCCAAATAAATATGAGCAAATTAATGTTATTTGAAATTAAAATCTTGAAGAGATTGTGTGTGTGTGTGTGTGTGTGTGATATGTGTATGTTTATATACAATTGATGAAAAATGTCTAGGAAACAAGAAATATTCTAGTCTTGAGAAATAACTTGCTTTCTTCTTAAAATAGAGAAAACAAGTTGCCAGTTTTCAGTGTTTCCTTTTAATGGAGAAATAAAATGTCATGAATAATCCAAGCAAGTATACTGCTCAAAATGTACATAAATATGACATGGATACACTTCTTTCCCTTTAGGCTGAGTATAATTAATTTATTTCAATGATTCCAATTTGACTGACGTGATATAGAATCACTTTTTTTTTTCTCAAGAATAACATATAGAGACAGTAGAAAAGGAAGCGGGTAGGTGAAAGCATTTTAGAACTTGAATTTATGCTAGATATGCCAGACTTAGATAATTTAGGTTTGGCTCTAATCCAATAATATCATTTTAGTGGAGAAACGAATAGAAAGTACATATAGGTCTGCATTTTGTGGCTCTATAATTAAAGCCCTGATTTAAATTATATTTACATATAACTTACATATTTTCTGGCTATTCTACATGCTCAATTTTTAAATGATCGCAAGTACTCATAAGTTGACAGCAATTTATTTAAATCTTGTCTTTGAATTTTAAAAGACAATTCTTGGTAATACAAAGCACTGTTGTAGACATGGTGTTAGAACAAAGGCCCCCAATTCTCCAAAAGCAAAGTGCCTATTGCAGGATTGCAAATGCCACAACTGAAGAGAAACGGGTCATCATAAACATGTTCTTTCATGAAGTACCACTAATTCTCTAATTGTTCCTGAACCAGCAATTTCATTATTCCTATTTCAAAAGAGAACTGTAACAATACGATTGAAATTCCTGGAGGTATGAATCAGCTGCAGGAAAGGCTCTATAGCCTCTGACCATTATCTTAGCCTTAAAAATAAACAGGGTCTTGACCCCAGGGACTTTCACTCTCATAAGTACACAGGTATCCCATAGATACACAACATTTTGATGAAAATCAATCTTGTGTCATCGCACAATTTTGCAGCTTTGGGAGTCTTTTAAAACCTAAAGATTTAAGAGCAAGCTGTTGAGGAAATGTACTATACCTTCACAAAGTCTGTTTTTCATGTTTCTCTGAAATCCAGGCTTACAGCGACAGAAAACAGATGTTTTTATTTGATTACAATATGCATCATCTCCACATGGGTTCACATGATCTTCACAGGTATATTTCATTGGAGCTGGGATTTAAAAATATGATAAAAACCAATATAATTCTAATTCCTGAAGTGGGAGTTCATTTATTCATTTAGCTTAATTTTAAATTATATGTATTTTACCATAAATGACTCTTCGAATACATAAAATTATGGTGGTCTCTCCATATAAGCCCTTATTTTTTTATAGAGGTATAGAAGAAGATAAAAAATGAATTCATTTACATTGAATATAGTTTAGATCAAACTGCCAACAGCTGATATTTATAGCTGTTACAAAGATATGCTGCTTTCTAAAAGGAAACAACGTATCAATGATTCAAATGACAAGCTAGCTTTATGATGTTATGATGTATGCATACTGCACCATTCTCTAAGAACAAAAACATCTCCTAGAAACTACCTAGGGATGAGGCATTTATTGTCAACCTAACTTCAGTATTCAGGAATACAACCAAAGGTGCTACCATGTTACGCAGAGCAGGTAGGCTCAATGAGCAGCTCTTAAACTTTTATAGACTGAACATGCGTCTGAGAATTGAATGTGTAGCATGTTACAATGGTCATGAGCTGCGACACAGGTTAGGAAGGACTTTGAGTTATATGTAGTCCCAGCATAGTTGTTAGAATTGCATTCCTTTATCTCCCATTCAGCAAAACATTGTAGTATGCAAATAAATGAAGGGGAATTATTATAAGGGCAACATTAAATTAACTTTATTTTACCTAAACAAATCAAATTATTGAGAAAAAGGAGAACTTTCATTAGGAGAATTGGGACCATTATTAATCGCTACTAACTCTTGAATATTTTACAATTAATTAAAATACACCAGTAGAATTATAGTATGAATGAGATATATCCTGAATCTCATTGCTTCATCATCCAGTGGGGAAAAACTTAGATGCATAATAAGAAAAAAAAAAAGACTTAAAAGCAGTAAGTATTCAGTGGCTTTTATAAGCAACCTTAATTTAGGGTTACAGTTCAATTATTTCCTTAATATAGAAAAGCAAATATCAAGCACTATCTAAACACCAAATTCTTAACAGTCAAGGTCTAGTAACTCAAGAACCATAACACTCTAACTGAATAAAACAATGATGGTTTCTTTAAGAATAATTTGACAGCAGATTAAAATTTTAAAACATTAATTATTAAGACCTTCATCATCATTCAACAAATATCAATGTTTGTGAAATTCAAAAAGTATTAAAATTATGTTTTAGAAACTAAAATATTAAGGGGTATAGATTTCTTTGCTGACATCAAAGTCTGCATTAGGATATTGAGTTCTCAGCTCTAGCTGTAATGAGGGTGCTCATAGCAAAATCAACCTTTCCCACCTCATGCTTTCTGATACTATGTGATGTTCAACTCAGCTTTGGCAAAAGCTTTAACAAAGTTATTCTTTAAGCACTTTATGAAGTGCAATTTTTTCTCACAGCAGTAAAGAAAAGTTTAGTCATACTGAAGCGTACATTGGACTTCGTGTGTCACTGCACTTTAACAGAAAACAAACTCACTTATTCTGCAGCCTTGTTCATCTGAACCATCTCCACAGTCGTCAAGCTGATCACACTGGAGGTCCATGGGGATACATTTTTTATTATTGCAAGCAAATTCATCTTTTTTACAAGGTCTTGCTTTATATGTAAGCTTACCTACACAGAGTCATTAAACATGATTAGTGTGTCACCAAATCAAAACAATTTTATTTAGCACATAACATGTCCAAAATTGTACTAAACGCTATGAAATACATGGGTCCACAATCCTTTATTTGAAGCTCTTAGGGACAAATTTTAAAATTATGAAATGCTTGTTTTTTTTATTTTTTAAAATAACAATACATTTACCTTATAGTAAATACCATCTTATTTCTATAGGAAAATGTTTGGGTATTTATCCTGAGTGTAATTTGTTTTAATGTAAACTGCCTCAAGCCAGATCAAGTCAGGGTTTGTCACCAAATAATTTTGCCACATAATTTAATAAAGTCTTTGGTTTTGAGAGTTCTTTTAATTTCAGAATTGTGAAAAAAGGACTGTGTACACACACATATATAAGCCCAATCCACCCCCAGGAACTATTAAACAGAGAACATTTTTAAACCACCATGTTATTTATCTCATGCAACATTTTCTTTAATAAGGTGCCTATATCCAAGAGATTTACAGACTAGCAGAGTTCCTGGAGAAAGCTGAAGAGGTCTACCACACAAATGAAATGTTAGCCGATTATTTTCTTACCCTGTTAGAAGATCAAGTGCCTGAAAACAACACCCTCAGATATACACATGAAAAAATGTTTAAAAAAATTTTTTGCGCTCTGAAATAATATTATTGTATAACTGCCACTGAATCAATCATTTCACATTAAATGAATTTACCACCGCAGAGATCTTCATCTGAGTTGTCCCCACAGTCATCGATCCCATTGCACGTTTGTTCAGGCTGCACACATATTCTGTTATTTCTGCATCTGTGAGGTCTTGTGGGTGGGCACAGAAATTTGACTGAAAAAAAAAAAGAAAAACCAAAGCAGTTCCTTTGAGGACACTGACTAAGGAAGAACCATACGTTTTTGTCTTTGTTTTTGTTTTTTTCTTCCTTTCTTTTGAAATCTATAATCTAGATTTTCTGAATATCGTTTGTTGTGGAAATTGCCTACATATAATAGATAAGAGAAAAATGTGTGATAATAGAAGCTTGTGATTTTAGTTATTTATATTAACTACAGAAAAGAGTGCACAGCTGTAAAGCTGAATGAAATAAGAAAAAGCCAGATTTCATGGTCTCATTTCCAGATGCCTTATTTTAGCCGCCTTCACTTGGTGTACCAAATTAATTTATGCCTACGGTTTATACAACATGGCAGGACACTTAGCTATCTGAAGGAGCAATTTCACACAGAACAGAGCTTGAGAAAGCATATGCTGCAAGCCTAAACTTGAAAATAGGCGATCCAGTGAAAAGAATATTTCAACAATATTACAGCTGGGTTTTTTACTCTACGTCTCTGTAAACAGATGTGTAGCTATGTATCTCAGGTGCATAAGGTTATGTTAGTTATTCATTTTTAATGTGTATGAGAGAGGGGGGGG